CAGTTGTTACAGGCTCATCCCACTGATCGCAGAACTGGTTCACGTAGAAATTCGCCGTGTTTCTTTGACACACACTCTTTCCAAATTTCACAAAAATTCCAAGCTTACCTCGAAAGATCTTTCCTCGGGAGAAAATTCCACGACGCAATGGGAGCAGTCCCTAATTGTTTCGACGGTTTCAATGGATTCCAGTAATTCCAATGTTCAGGTAGAGATCCAATGGTTCGATAAGCAGGATTCTGCTGGATGAACAAAATTCTTCTGTTTCGTATTCCCTGTTCGCCGGAAGCTCGAAAGCTCAACGACCATTGTACATGCTCAGCTTTAAGCAACAACACGTTCCAGTCGTAACAAGCGCATTTTATTCGTAGGGAAAAGCACGAGGGGTGAAGGACCGGGGGAGGGTCGGCAGAGTTGGTTAGGTTGGACTAGAAAGGAACTAGGTATAGAAATAGAGGGTGGCCGAGGGATGGAAGGAGGAAAGCTCGCAAGCCCTGGATGCTCGCTGGTATCGCGTTACCCGCGGGATTAAAAACCTCAGCAAGAAATACTGCCGCTGGAAAAGCTCTCATTTGCAAGCTCTCCGAGGACCGGAGGGAGTCCGGACAAGAGTGGGATAGGACGTGGTCCTCATCGGACAGATACCTGCAGGATACCTGGATAACTGTGCCAGGGTGAGACGCGGAGTCCTGAAAAGTATACTTGAAAATGTACTTGAAATGCTTTGATTTCCTCTCGTGTACGCCGTTACTCCATTTCCGGTAGCGCACCCGAGGAGAGGGTCCATCCGGAAGGGGACGAACAGGGATATCATTTTATTGAGAATTTCCTGTAAATTTCTAGGAATTCCTGGAGTATCTTTTAAATGATAACCCAGTGGGTCGGCTCGTTCAGAACGAATTCGCGGAGGCTCGAAATCGTATTTATGTTTGTATCCGCCGTTTGGCGTCGGTGGTGGCGAAGTCTCGCGGAATTGAAATGCAAATCGTGGATCCGGCATGCAAATCCCATTGCAGGGGTAATGGTAGCCAACCCCAACGAAACCCAGACCGAGAATAGACCGAATCGGTCCGAAGCGGAACGAAACGGAACGGAAAGAGCATAGATATGGATACGAATGGGGGAGAAGGTAATAGGAAAGCAAATGATACTAGCCGGATGCTGGTTACTCGTTATCGGTTGGTGATTAGTGCTTTCTAATTACTAATTAGTAATTACTATGCTTCTCTGGGATATCTTGTATGTACAAGCGATACAAGGGTAGTCGGAAAAGAAAAAAAATATATATATTAATTAGATTTCACCATATCAGGTACATACGAACTTCGAGCTATCCGATTTGGAAGCAGCAAGAATCATTCTTCAACCCTTACAGATCAATCCCAGAAGAATATCGTACATCAGCATCTCTTTCGTATCTTTCGCTCCTCTCTAAGAATCCATCTCATGAAGTTCCACCCGACCGCAGGTTTCTCTACTGAAAGAAGACTGGACCCACCCAGTGCCCGGCTGTAATAGGCAGGTGTAGGCGGGAGGGACTGCCAAGTGAGATACACGAAGGAAGACGAAACGAGGAAAGAGAAGAGCAAAGAGTGAAGGGTAAGAAGGGAAGAAGAGCGAAGAGAAGAGGGAAAGAGCAGTCGGATCCTTCACGGTTCGATTCCTCGACGTAAAGTGACGTTACGCTTCGGGGCTGCTGAGCACGCTCACGGGCAAATTAACGTCGGATAATAACACGAGCGAAAACATCTGGTGGTATGCCTTCGCCACCTCCTTCGCCACCTCCTTCGCCTCCAGCAGCTTCTCTGCCTCCTCCGCCGCCCGATCGCCATGTTCCTGCCCTTGTCCTGGTCCTCGTAACGCAAGCTCTTGCCAGGATCGATACTTTATAATTATATTATGCAGAATGTCACTCGGCGCGTTCTCGGCTGCTTATATTGGGGTGTCTCCTTTCTCCCCTGATGCCATTTTTTTCCCCGAGGGTAGTTTCACTAGCGAAGAATCCTCCTCTAACACTCGTCATCCGCACCCCCTTTGAATGAAACGTGACAACGCGCGCTACGGATACCATCCTCCTAGCCTTATGCTATTGCGCTCTCTGCATGACCTACGACTTCTCCCCTGCTCTTATCTATCGTATCCTCCTTCGTTTCTCTATTCACATATTATTTTCCTCAATATTATTCTCATCGTGTGTCTCATACGGTGCAACGTGCATTTCGCTCTTACGACCATCGCACCGTAAGATCCATCGATTATACCGGAATTAACATTTAAAAGCGGAGAATTTGCAAGTCCCAGGAATCGCGGTTCGGTGCCATTCAGTAGTACCAACAGCAGCAGCGAAGAGTAAGCGTACATTATGCAAGGGTTGGTGGTCAGACGTATCCTGAAGCGAACCACAGTGGAGCAGAGAAGACAGAGTAGACAGAACAGGCACACGTGTGTTTCCGTTACAGACGTAGATAACCCCATGAAGAGAGAGAGAGAGAGAGAGAGAGAGAGAGAGAGAGAGAGAGAGAGAGAGAGAGAGAGAGTGAGAGAGAGAGAGAGAGAGGGTAAACTGAGAGATTTAAATTTCGGACATTTGCCAGGGTGCACGTATGAGCCCTTGTTTCTTTGTATTCTTGATGCTGTGGGCGAGTGCGTGTAGAAGTACCACTGACTGTCGTGGGATTTTTGTATTTTTATGTTACTCCCTTGGCTTCGCCATTAGGGGCTGGACGGGACTCATTTGTACAATTTTATGACGGCCCCTCGTGTGCCTTTCATTCTGACGGCGTTGCTACTGTTTTAAAGATTTCACTTTAATTGCCGGGGCCAATGAGAACTGGTTGGTATTTTCATCAGCCAGCGTCACTGCACCATTTCGCTAGGACGAGGGCCATTTTAAAATTTCGAGACTTCACTTTTTCTCGACCTTCAAGTTTTGCTCCTGACTCCTCGTCTCCTCCGAAGCTGTTAAAGTGCCGTCACGACGCCTCGCGCGATCGCTTCCCTAGATGAGGCGCGTCTCTTCCTCTCGACGCCACCCCCTACCCCTCCTCCTTCTCTCTCTGATCATCCCTCCTGCTCCTATCGGAAACATCTTTATCGGGCATTTCCTGCGAGCTTATTTCGACAACAGGCAGCAGCAGTTTGAGCTAATAATATTCTTCCTTCGCTACCAAGCTTGGAATTGAGTCCACCTTTGCCTTCCGTAGTTCTTCTTACAGCCTCAGTCTCCTCCCTGAGTAAGCCTACAGGGGCTGTACCAAGCTCGCTCTCTCTCTCTCTCTCTCTCTCTTTATAAGGCAAGGAAAGCATTATGTGGAGAGCCGTGACGGGATCCGGCGGGACAGAACTACTACAGGTTCATAGCTTGCACTCTTTTGATATTTCAACCCAGCAGGCGAGTGGCGTGTCGTAATGAAATCATCTCTAGCGCTTTGATCCTCCTTCTCCTGGTAGCCAGTCCCAGAGTCCCTGTAGCAGGACACGGGTTCCGGAACTCGGGACTCTACCAGCAGAGGAATTCTATCCTTCTCCGTCTCTCCACTCTCTTTCTAGAGAAGGTCCGGCATGTGTAGCGTCAGCTCCGCATCCCGTACGTTCTTCCACGTGGTGCTCTTCCATCATCCTCAGAGAACGCAGATTGGGGGGGG